GCAGCAGCAACAATAAAGTTACGCCTTCTTTCTTTGCTGAACATTTGGGCGGCGTTATGTAAATCTTCCCACATCGTGACGTAGACGTGGGGGTGTGTTAGAACGAGCCATTTTAGGTAGGCATGGTTGATTCTTAACTCTCATAAAGAATATCTCTTTGGATTTGAGACTTTAGTCTTTGCAACTTTACATATCTTCTTTATGCACCAAGAGCTTGTAACACTCCAAAGAGAAAGGAAAAATTTAAATCGCATCATATGACCCCTTTAAAGGGATAGTTCACCCAAAAAGGAAAATTGTCATTAATTACTTGCCCTGTTGTTCCAAAACCATAAGACCTTCGTTCATCTTAAGAACACAAATGAAGATATTTTTGATGAAATCTGAGAGCTCTCTGACCCTCCATAGACAGCAACGCAACTGACACCTTCAAGGCCCAGAAACATAGTAAGGACATCATTAAAATATGTGACATGTGACATCAACCATAATTTTACACGAAAGAGAATAAATTGATGCATAAAGTCATTATTTGTGTTTTCTTTGCGCACATAGCTTCATAAAATTAATGTTGAACCACTGATGTCACATGGACCATTTTAACGATGTCCTTACTACCTTTCTGGGCCTTGAACTAAGTAGTTGCGATTTTCATCAAAAATATGTTCTTTGGAACACAATTGGGTTTGGGTTTTTACGGGTTTGGAACGACATGAGGGTGAGTAATTAATGGTAGAATTTTCATTTTTGGGTGAACTATCCCTTTAAAGGACATTGCCCCCATAAATAGCTTTTAGTGCAGTTGGCTACTTTTGCTTCTAGTGTTGCTAATGGCTTTTTTAAAAGGTAGCTTTATTTAGTTATGCTAAGCTATGGTTTCAAAGTATCTCTACCAGCACCTTTGTATACAGAATGTTAAGTTTACAATACATATTATTACTTTTGAAATATGAATTATAGAGCCTTAGATTAATTTGCATTTCTCACACATAGACACACACGCACGCACGGGCACACACACGGGGGCACACACACACACACACACACACACACACACACACACACTTCATGGCAGCCTCTCAGTCCATGTCACAGTTGGTAATCCCGGCTCTGCTCTAAATACACCTCTGCTAAACCTAGTGACACCACACACTGTGTTGATGCAGGGGGTTTCTAACCCAAGAGCTGGTGGAAATCCTGGCACCTGCGTCTCAAGTTCAGCCTGACTTCCGGCTCATTCATTCATTTAGCCTGGCAGCTGCGGAGACACTTGAGATACAAACCCTTTAGCTGACGGTCCATTTCTGACGCACTAACTCTTAAAGAGGACGGTTGATTTGTTCACTTATTAAATTTCATTGCAATTAGGATGCTGCCTATGTAGGCAGTAGAACAAGAAAGCTTGCTAGGTTTTGGAACCGATCAAGTGAATGTGATATTAATGCGTTTTGTTTCTTGACAACCATAATCCACCTACAGTTGCATAATATTACTTGATGCAAGAATTGCTTTATGATTATTAGTAGGATTTTAGTTATTGAACATTGCTGTTGCCGCCACTTGAGGCCATTCTTTGCAGTTGTTAACATGCAAAGTGGCCACTTGTTAATTTCAGTTCAGTTCGAACCGATTGCTGAGGTATTTTTTTCAGTTTCTTGAGTGTTGATAATGTCAGCTATCATTTTCCTGCATTTTCATGTTCTTCATCTAATTCAACACCTCCACATCCATCATGCCTCAATTATGCTGTTACTGACTGTGTAGTAACTAACCCCGCCCACCCCACCTGCGCCGGCACTAACCCTTCTCTCCTCTCTCCCTGCATCCTATACACGTACGTGCAGGACAAAGCCAAGCTAGATGCGGAGCATGTAAAGTTAGAGCGACTGGCGCATCTGCTTGCAGAGCAGAAGACTCAGTTGGACACCTGCCCCGAAGCCTTGAAAGAGCAACTTCAGCTGCAGCTCTGCAGGGTCAGTACTCACACACAGCCTTCATCCGCCTCTTCCTCATAACCGGGTCCTTGTCCTCTTCATCCCTAGTGCTTGCATTTGTCTCACCTCCATGAAAGACATTTCGGCTGGCTTTCTTCTCTTATATCGCATGCGCTTCCTGTATGTCTGTAATGTACTGCATAATGTTTTTGAATAATTAAAAAAAATTATATAATCAAAATATTGCTCCTGGCACTGATGGGTCATATTTGATTCTCCAAAATCAAAAGTCTATATTAGTATATATTAATGATCATGATTATTATAATTTTTTCTTAATGTTTTTAAATTTTTCTTTCTTTTTTTTTTGCATTGCAATATTGAAAAATTGTAGGGGGAGGGGTGCTTAAGTGTCATAAAAATAAATTTGATTTACATTTTTTATTAAATTTTAATTAAAATTAATTAATAGTAATTTTAAGTTTTTGTGCATTTGCAAATATTAAGAACATCCCCCCCCCACCAAATTTAAATTACTACAATCCGAAAAAATCTCATCCTCGTTATTGTAACGCATTGTAATTATTATTTATTATGTTATTATTATGTTATTTTATCATCATTGAGATTTATAGTTTAATATTTGGAATTAGTTTTTTCCATTTTCATTTTATCTTTATCATTTTATTAGTTTAGTATGTTGATATAGTTTGTGTAAAATTTAGTGCTGTCAAACGATTAATCGCATCCAAAATAAGTTTTTGCTTACATGATATATATATATATTTATATTCATATAACTTATATTATATATACATGCATTTAATATATAAACATAACATATTTTTTCATACTTATATATATACAGTGGTGTGAAAAAGTGTTGGCCCCCTTCCTGATTTCTTATTTTTTTGCATGTTTGTCACACTTTAATGTTTCAGATCATCAAACAAATTTAAATATTAGTCAAAGATAACACAAGTAAACACAACATGCATTTATTGCATGCATTGCACAACATGCACAACATGCATTTTTTGTTTTTATTATTAAGGGAAAACAAAATCCAAAACTACATGGCCCTGTGTGAAGAAGTGTTTGCCCCCCTGTTAAAACTGTGGTTTATCACACCTGAGTTCAATTTCTCTAGCCACACCCAGGCCTGATTACTGCCACACCTGTTCGCAATCAAGAAATCTCTTAAATAGGACCTGCCTGACAAAGTGAAGTAGACCAAAAGATCCTCAAAAGCTAGACATCATGCTGAGATCCAAAGAAATTCAGAAACAAATGAGAAAGAAAGTAATTGAGATCTATCAGTCTGGAAAAGGTTATAAAGCCATTTCTAAAGCTTTGGGACTCCAGCGAACCACAGTGAGAGCCATTATTCACAAATGGCAAAAACATGGAACAGTGGAGAACCTTCCCAGGAGTGGCCGGCCGACCAAAATTACCCCAAGAGCACAGCGACGACTCATCCAAGAGGTCACAAAAGACCCCACAACAACATCCAAAGAACTGCAGGCCTCACTTGCCTCAGTTAAGGTCAGTGTTCATGACTCCACCATAAGAAAGAGACTGGGCAAAAATGGTCTGCATGGCAGAGTTCCAAGACGAAAACCGCTGCTGAGCAAAAAGAACATAAAGGCTCGTCTCAGTTTTGCCAGAAAACATCTTGATGATCCCCAAGACTTTTGGGAAAATACAAACTTATTTTGGATGCGATTAATCGTTTGACAGCACTAGTAAAATTTTATTTTAGTTTTAGTAAATCAAGTTAACTACAACCAGCTGTAATATCATACACAGCTCCAATGATCTGTTGAAGATCTGTGTGAAGATGGGGGCCAGTTGGTCAGCGCAGACTTTTAAACAGGAGTGGCCGGCCGACCAAAATTACCCCAAGAGCACAGCGACGACTCATCCAAGAGGTCACAAAAGACCCCACAACAACATCCAAAGAACTGCAGGCCTCACTTGCCTCAGTTAAGGTCAGTGTTCATGACTCCACCATAATTATTTAATTATTTTAAGCATTTTAATTATTCTTCTTGGTAATATGTTTTTTATATTTTATTTAGATATAAATGTGATATTGACAAAAAACTATTTTTATTAAATTATTCTAAATATTTTACAATACAATTTTTCTTCAGATTAATCTAAATTCTCAGAATTTAATTATTTAATAAAATGTAGTGTTTTCTGAATTTCTATATTTATTTTAATTAGTGTATATATTAGTGATCATGATTATAATTTTTTTCTTCATTTTTTTTGTTTTTCTTTTTTTTTTTTCGTGGGGGGAAGGGTGCTTAATTGTCATGAAAATAATGTCACAATGCTAAAAATCTACAAATGTAATTTCTTATTTTTTTGTCCCATGTCTCATTCATAAGTTTCATGGGATTCACCCTGATAGGCTGGTACACAATCCCTGATAGTGACCACATGAGATGTTAATTAAGTTATAGGAAAGAACTAGGTTATTTAAAGCTGGCAGGCCTTGAATGAAAGTGTGGCATACAGTAGCTGTTTCAGTGATGACGTGGAATGGCTGCAAAGTTTCTTTATGTCGCAGAAGGTCATGTTATGTGAGTGTTGACGTGATTGATCTCTAAAGGTCAGTGGTGATGGGTGAAAGTTGTGGCTGGTCCTCTGTTCACTGGCATGTCGCGGCGCATGTTTATAGCAGTTATTGGCCTGCTTCCAGCAGAGTGAAACCTTAACCCCTGTCTCCGACCCTGGGGAGGCTGCTGGAGCAGAAGGGATTTGGTGTGAACTGTTGTTGGTTTCTTTGAGGCTTGTTGAACTGTGGGAGTATTACGACTTCATTTCCTTTACACTTTGAAGATATAGATCTAGACCATCATGTCTTTGTGTATCAGGATGCAGAGACGCTAGAGGTGGAGACCAAGCGGTTTGAAGACCTAGAGTTTCAACAGCTGGAACGAGAGAGTCGTCAGGATGAGGAGAAAGAGACTCAGACCCAACATATTCTCAGGGAGATCGCAGAACACCAGAGGAGCACCGTCACACGGAAGGTGAGTTTCTTGTTGGTGCCTTCAAGTCATCCTGGCAAGTTCTTACTTATGAGTAAGAACTTTATGTGCATTTAAATTATTTGATGGACAGAAAGAGAAAAGGCTTTTATAAGGCTTATATAAAGACCAAATTACCCAATACTAGTTAGCTTCTACAGTGTTTTTCTATTTGGCTCGTCTCCAAAGTTGAGGCTCAAAGAAAATCTGTAAATATGATCATTCCAACACATTAATATGTGTGACACCTTTAGGAGAGGCTGCTGGCCCTGAAGAAACAGTACACCCAGATTTCCCAGCAGGCTCAGAGGGACAAAGACAACTTTGTGAAGGAAAAGAACAATCTTCAGATGATGCTGCAGCGGGTATGTCTGTGTAATATTACTAAAAAATCCATGCTGCACTGCCTTTTTTGCACCCTTTATTGAAAGTCGTTATTAGTGCTTCTGAATCATGACAGACTTTCTCGTTTTTTTCCAGGAAAAGGAGAATCTTGTCAGCTTGGAGAAGAAATATTCTGAGCTCACTGGGGCATTGGGTTTCCCTGTCAGTCCCATCAGTATGAAGGAGGTACGTCTGACAGGATTGTGTGTTCTATGTGAATAGAGCAAACCTTCTCTTGACATCCTCTCTTGGACTGCACATGTGTTTTGGGCCTGAGTACTTCGACGATGTGTGGCTGCCCCAAAAGGTTACTATAACACCATGAATGGATCTACAGTAAATAAGGAAGTATTCACTATGATCGCTTTTCGCCCATGCCCTCATCACGACTCTTGCAACCTGGAAATCTTTAGTTGCAGAGGGTTGTTTGTGTTTCCTCACCGTGGAAACAGGGTCTTTTCCCCTGTATTCCAGGATTGCTTCCAGTTGGCCGACGTGTGTCTACCTCATAGTGAATTTTGCCATGCCCACAAAACCCTGTCTCCACTTCCTGCTGACCTCCTGATGTTTTCTTCTCTTCTTTCCTCTGACTATCAAAAATGCTGAGGTAACGCACTAGCAGTGTGCATGCAAGATAATGTTTGTTGCTTGTTTGCTGCTTTCCAAAATACCTCCTAACATGCCGCTTCCCTGGGTAGTTAAGTTTCTAATGCTCTTAAAATAACCTTTAATTATTTACTCTTTTACTGGTTTATCAGTGCTTCAAATTCCTTGGAGGTTTTTGTTTAGGTCCCTTAAACATTAACTGAATTACTTATTTATTTCATAAAATTTACTTTTATTTTTATTTTACTAATTCATCTGTTTTTTGTTTTTTTGTTTTTTATGTAATTTGTAATTTCATTACATTTGAATATTTTTTAGTATTTAATGATTATTTAAAGGGGTCATATGATGCTGCTAAAAAGAACATTGTTTTGTGTATTTGGTGTAATGAAATGTGTTTATGCGGTTTAACCCCTTAACTGTCACCCCCCATTTTTTAAAATAGGCATGCAGGTGCCCTATCCAAACAAACAAAGTAGTTTCGCTTTCACAACGAAACACAGCATCACACACGGCGGCCTACAGTGAGCAGAGGCGGCGGATTTGACGAAGGAGCGTCCGGCGGGCTTGCGGCAACCACATGTGACGACCCCGGGCTGGACTCCGCTTCGTACACGGTGAAAGCCGATCCGGCGATCCACAGCACAAAGTTGTAGTATTTCCTCAGCGACCAGCACGGATCAGCTCCAGGCATGACGAAGCGGATATCGTCCTCTTTTGGAAGGCCAAACAAAGCAGTTTCGCTTTCACAACGAATCACACCGTACCTTCACGACATGGCGGCGGCAACAACAATACTACAGCGAGAATAAAAGTTATGCCTTCCTTCTTTGCGTGAACATTTGGGCAGTGTTATGCAAATCTTCCCACATAGTGACGTAGGTACATGGGGGCGTGTTAGAACGAGCCGTTTTAGGTAGGCGTGG